AGGAAGTGTGTGCTATTCCCAAATTTACTCATCAAGCACCTGCCAGTCAACATTGTTGATCACTCCTGTGCCTCATGCAGACTGAATTCACTATCCACAGGTCTGCTACAGCCCACAAAATGAAAATTCCCTCTCTGTAACAATCCAGCACAGTTTTTGTGGCATACACACTGTAGTTTATTTGCACTCATCAGGCTTTGGGTATGACATAAAATCATTGTAACATAATGCATTATTAAATATATTTTCCAGCTGAAAAAGATAAACTTGACAGACTGTCAGTGAACATTTTCATACTGTAGAAAAGGTTAGTGAAAAAAACCCTGGAGTACATCCACCTATTAATGTAAAAAAAGCTCAGCAACTACTCAGAGCAGAAACTGCATGCAAAGAGCTTGCACTCTGCCTTGTCCACCATAAACAGAATTTTCATTTTACTGCTAAATTGCATTTAGACAATGATTTGTATGAGCATGGTTGAGTGTATGGATTATTCACAAAGCATTTACTTGGGCTGTTTGTTGGGTTTGGTGTTGCTTGGTCACCTCAATATAATGTGGTTTTTGCACTTTCATGGGTGACTGAGTATGTTTGTAGATGGGAAGAGGGGGAAAATGAAAGCTTCTAAATGGTGTGAGTACTGTTAGTGTGATTGTTGGGATCAGTTGTGAATTTGAGAGGGAATTCTCAGGAGATCTTTTCTAGTCATGGATGGAAGGATACCCTCCAAAAAAACAAAAAAAGAAACCAAGAACTTCTGTGGAGGTAGGAGCTCAGCAATCCTTTATCAAGGCCTCTGGAATTTACATTTCCAGCTGAGCAGAGGCAAGCCCAAACATCCTGCTGGTCACAGCCAGCCCAGTCGTACTGAAGGCAGGGTCCTGAGAGCTCTTTTGCAAGATCAAGGTGTTTGGCTTCAGGATCCTGCAGTGTTGGATCTGCCTCTTCCCAAGGATGCCTTTGGCCTGCCTCTGGCTCACAGGAGAAGTCTGCAGAGGTTTCCTTACCTGGGGCAGTCGGTTCTCTGTAAGATTTTTTGTTTTAATCAAATGAAGTTGCCTTGGTTCTGAGTAGTTTAGTCCTTCTTTTTGTTAATAGTGGAAAGATAACTGCATATTATCCTCTCTGTGGAAAATTGCTACCTTTTACTTAGAACTGGAATAACCTTTTCTGAAATGCCAGGCTTTCCCAGAGACTGGAAAATCCAGATTTTAATGTTGTAATATCCTTTCTGTGGAAAATCTCTACCTTTTTCTTAGAACTGGAATAACCTTTTCTGAAATGTCAGGCTTTCCCAGAAATTGCAAAATCCAGATCATAATGGTGGCTGTTTCTAAACATGTTATTGTAATAATTACTAGGAACTACTCTGTTGATGGCTGTTATAAATTAGAGCCAAAAATTCTACTAATGTTGACTTTTGATTTCCACACAAACAAACACGAGGGATTTTGAGATATTCTTTTAGATGTAGATGTAGCTGAAAGTACATGTTGATCTCAGTTATTATCTGACACATCTGTGGCAACTCTGAAATCTAGAGGACAGGTACATGCTGGCCTGTCACCTCAGATTTACCACTGAGAAACTGCAAGTAATACAGCTCAGCACAGTGAGAGAGCTGAGTAATCAAGCAATATCCAAAGGGAGCAATAAGCAATATTTGGTTACATGGTGGAGCTTGAGTGTTTTGGTAAAAATTCATCTACATTTCTGCACTACATGAATCTCTAGAAAATTACATATGTTAATTGCTGGGGATATTCCTTCCTCCAGAGAAGACAAAAAAGGGAGGAAATCCTGTTTGTTTAAAAATTACTCATGTAGAAAGCTTTTCTTGTTGTTCCATTTCTAAGTGAACATCAAGGGTTTCTCTATTAAAGAGGTATTTTTCATTAAAATAATACATAAATATTTTATTTAATTAATTTGTAGCCTTAAGGCTTGACTTCAGCACACATAAACCATTTTCTATTTTTTTTTCCCCAAACTCCCGGTGAACTGACTGGATTTTACATCCCCTAAGGAGATACCTTTGCACAAGTTTAAAAAACAGAAATGTCAAATGTTCTCTGCAGGTGCATGTTTCTTGCTGTGATGGAGCACCTAGGGCCAGGATTTGGTCCTGGTATGTCTTCAGGCAGGAATATAAAAGAAACCTCTCTTGTACCTCAGCATATGTCTGGCTACTAAAAATGGAGTTGTCAGCTTCCAGTTGCCAATCCATTAATTTTTTTTTTTTAAGGTTAGGGTTACTTTTGACAAGTGACAGAGTACCCTGATACAAACAACTGGAATTGGAGGTTAGCATATCTAAAAACAAGGAGATACATTTTCTCAATGACTTTTGGCTTAAACTGAATTATTTTGGAGAGGAAAAAAACCCTTTATTTTGTTAAAGGGCTAGACTGTGGTCTATGTTTGCATTGCCCTTGCTGAACAAAAAGTATTTATTTAGCTGAAATGGTCTCCCATTATTATCTTTCTTGATGTAAAATGCCCTGAAGGTGGAAGAGGAAAGGTCTCTCCTTTTCCCAGCTAAAGCTGATGCTTAAATCAAATCATTCCTCACTGTGAAGAGTGGCCTCTTGGCTATACAAAAACCTTTTACCCAGCATCTTTCGTGGAAGATAACTTAATTGGGAAAGATTCATAACTTCTGATACAATCTTCTTGTCTTCAAGTTCAGACCAATAGCCCAAACAAATAATTTGAGATGAAGTTCCAAAATTAACCCCAAAGAATATGGGATAAAATAAGTTCTAAGGTTAAAATGAATTGGACTGAATCCATTCCATTCCTTAAAAATAAAGGAAAAACTTTCAATTTTTTGTATTATCTCTTACTGACCTCTTGCTGCTGAGGGAAGGTTCAGGTGCCTGGCCTGCCTTGTCTTCTCTGCTCAGATGTTCAATCTCATTTTTTATCTCAATTCACTGCATTTATTGGTTCCAGTGGGAACATTTCCACTTAGCAGAGGCTGAAGGTAGGCAGGAATTCTGAAGAATGCAATAGGGAGAGGCATTTTTTGGAATGTGAGAAGTGCCAGGGAATTTGGAGTACTGCAGCGATCAGCTGTGGTGCTGATCCTGTGGCAGTGATTCCCAGGTAAGGCTGGTCAGGGTAGGTGAAGAGATTTAATTTTAAATTCTGTGACTGAAGCATTAGGGAGAGAAATGCACCTCGGTGACTTTCTCTCAGATTATTTTGCCATGGGAGCAGAGGTGGGAAGCAGGTCAGTTTTTTAGGGTTTTTGTGAAGTTTTCAAAGGATTGCAGCACAAGGTCTTGGCTCTCTGGTAGCACTAAATGAGTGACGTCTGCAGGCATTTGGGTCTGTTTGGGGTAAAGGAGCCCCACAGTTCTTGTCTGGGGGAGATCTCTGATCTGGGATCAGGATATTAAATTATTCCCTCTTTTGGAGAGGCACTGGGTACAGATGTTATATAATGGGGATATTGATATTGGTCAGACATCTCACACGAGGCAAAACACTCATGGCTTTCAAAACCAGCTTACTTCAGGAGCTCATTTTTTATTAATATTCTTCTTTTCTTTATTATTTTATAGTAGCATCAAAGTGAAGCACATTTGTAGGGAAAAAAAAAATCTGCTTTTAGCAGCTATTTTAACTGTTGTAATAAAACCTGACATTATTTTCCACAACCAGCTTTATCAGGGGCTACTGGAAGATGTGTCTTGATGTTAGGGAGGAAAAGCCAATATAAAGATTATTCCATGGTTCCTTATCTCTTCATCAATGACAGCTGCAGGCAGCATACCAGGTTTTCTGCCTCCCTTCACAAATCCCTGGCCTGATCCTCTGTGTAGCCACATTCTAGGCAACAATAAGGGGGTGTTTAGTTATGGCACTTTAACTTAGCATAGAGACCAGCTTTAATTGTGCCATTAGGGATATTCTTTTATTGCCACTCAAGAATGTCTTACAATACAGCATGAAGTTCATTTTTATCTTGAAGATTATTGCTCTAAGCAAGGACTAAGAGTTACAGCTCTTCCATAAAAGTGGTTATTTTTCTCTTGGTTGTGCTATAGTTGCTCAGTTACAAGAGTGTGCTAAAAAGGAGATTGCACTGACAACAAGATAGGGCACAACTGATACCTGGTATTTAAGCTTCTGATAAGTCCCTCTGAAATTTTCCAGTTTTTCTTTGGTGGAAGTGGGAAGTAAAATTTTTTACAAAATCAAAGCAGTGTTTTCCCCAAGACTTCAGGCATTTACTTTGTTTACTGCTATTCTCTTAAATATGCCCTTTTTATGGCTTCTGTAGAGAAATCAGAAATCCAGAAGTTTGGGGTTTTTTCCCCATCAAGCAAATCTCCCAAACACAAGTTTTTCCTGACTGTATTTCTACACATTTAAATCCTACCTTTTTTCTGAAGATCTCAAAAAATGAGACCCATATCTTCAGAAAACCCAACTTAAACATTCACAGGGAAAATTTGTACTTTGAAAGCTTGCAGAATTACACTTTGCTCATTGATCTTGTGTGTTACTTCAGACACTGTTTCTCTTTACAACTCTAATGTTATCGAGGTCTTGCAGAGTTAGTGTGGGTTTGTACAGAACTTGCCTGTAGTATTTGGATCACCAAAAGAATCTTTGAGATGCATGGGGTTGTTGAATACAAGTTGGGTAAATGTTTTGTTCCATGTACAAGATCTCCTTGTGCTAGCAGAACTTAAAAAAACCTCCCAAATTAGGGGACAGAAAGGTCAAAGAGAACTTAGAATCAGTGTGAGATGATACACTTGATAAATTTTCTAGATGATTTTGCACTATAAAACAACAACTGTCCTGTATCCCTCTGCATGCATGTATCAGGAAGGAAGAACCAACCAAGAAGTAGCTGAAAATTGGTGCTTATTGCATATGGTCAATAAAGCTGCTTAAGTTCTTTGCACTTGATGTGTGGCATGCAAACAGCTACATCATATCTAATGGGCTTTTCTTTCTTGGCTTCCTTTTTTTAATGAAAGGTCCGAGCCCTTTGGATCACACAGCAAGAAGCCCTTCTCTTCCTCCTGGCTACTCTGCTTGGAACCTGACCTGGGTCATGAGAGATACATCCCCCTTCTTCACCCACAGAGGACGACACAGTGAGTAGCATGAATATGTTATCCTCAAGAGGCTGCAACTCCCTGCCTAAGGTTTTGGTGCAATACTGGAGTAAAGCAACACAAGTCAAATGTTTCATGGTAAAATATCCATACTGGCAGCATCTGAGGGCACTAGAAAGCCTCAGTGCCTGTTACCAGCTCCCCCAACTTGCCCAAGGGCCCAGGAGTCCCATTTCAGCCCAGCCCAGCCTGAGGTCATTGCCATCTCTATGGAGGTGCCTGGGCTGCCCCAGCCTGCCCTGCTCCCTCAAAAACAAGGGCCCAGACTGTAATAATTGAGTGGGATGTTGAAATTCACCAATATTACAAAGAGAGGAGCTGTGTACTGAACTTTTTGCTTCTCGTCTCCTTTTCTAACATCCATCCCTTCCAAAATCAGAGAATGTGTTTTCATCTGTTCTCAGGTATGACCTATCCATGGCCATCCCACTGTGAAGTACGATGGCTGTAGTCAGGACTGGACTGCACAAGGCAATATCTAACGTGCAATCCAGAAAGTGACTGCAGTAGAATAGATCTACTATATATCTACTACCAGTCTCTATGCAGGGAGATAAGGTGCTGAGAGGCTAATAAGATTTACTCACCCCAAGCCTGTAATTATCTGCTTGAGGGAAAAGTTTGACCTACCTATATGAAGGAGCCCCATATTTCTTCAAATTTATGTTGCAGCCTTTTATGTGGGCAATATATATTCTTTCCACTGGCATACAATATCTGCTCCTAGCTGTTGTATCTGCTTGAGTGATGAGGACACACCAATTTCATTTTGGAAGCAACAGTAGTACAATCTTTTTTTCCCTTACTTGGTTTTCTCAGAAGTTGCAAGAATGATTTTTAATTTATCCTTTATTACTTCTTCCTAAACTCTTTCAGTTTCTCAGTAATACTATTCTAAGGGAAGGCTTTGTTCTTAAAAGCTAAGAGCACTGATTTCATCTGACAGCATCACATGGAGATAAATGTACTGCATCTCAGCAGAAATGATTTATGATGATTTTAGCTGATTGCCCAAGACCAAATCCTACCATATTCCAACCATCTGTTTTGCAAGAAAAGGCAGGAATTTGATGAGGTGTTACACAAAATACAGTGTTCACTCAGGACAACTATAAACTGTTTTCTCCCTCAGTAGGTGTAATTTAGGGCATGCACCTTGAAATTTTGAGAATCTTGAAGAGAGGCAGGAATAATTTGCTTTTTCTATTTTTTCTAGCTTTGCAATTTAACATTTACAAAAATTTAAATTAAAGGGCACTAGCCTTTAATTAGTAGCCTTGGAAGGCACACATTTCAGCCTGGAACACCCCATAGCATCACTGTACAGACACTTCCTGCCACTTGAGATGTGCAGCCCCCAGAGGACTGATGTGTGTATGCAGCACAGCCCATAGTCATAGCCTAAAACTGAGGACACTTCTTAAAGCTTCTATTCCTCTGCATGCCTTCAGCTTAGCCACTGGCATGTTAATTAGTAAACTTCCCTGGGAGCTGATTTCTGTTCAGAGCTGCTCTATGATAGGGTGGACAGCTCCTTTCAGTGGCTGATTACTGGCCCTGGGTCTACATTGCTCTCTGAAGGTCATGCAGGGACTCAGCAGAATGAGGAAGAAGACAAAGTTAGACCATCCAAGCTCTAGGTGAGTACTCCTGTCCCAGGACCCAGCCTTCTGATTAGTGGTTAATCCAAATTCACACAATAAATTATAAGCAGAAATAAAACCCACCAGCCTTTTACTATTAGAGTGATTTCTTCCGTCAGTTTTCCTTACTGCTCCTAGCATGACTGATTATGAAATGCTCAATAGCTTCTATCACAACTTTGTTTGCCTAATCATCTGATGGGACCCATCTAATTAACTGGTGACATTGCTGGAGTGGGGCAATATTAGTTATCTTAATTACACTTTCTCTGTGTTCTGCCGTTGGAGAAACCTCTGATTGAAAGAGCGAGTAAATTGATACGTGGTGTCCTTCTTCCTCTACCAAACTAAGTTCTCTTCTCTTTTGCTCAGAATTAGAAATTCTGACAGATTCTCTCTGCTAGTTCTGGCAGGAACACTGCCTGATGATATCTTTGAAATCACAGGCAGCAATCCCAAAAGATAATCGCTGGCACAAGAAGATAATGGAGCGGTGCATTCACAAGAATTTTTTACTGTTTTGTCTAGATATTTTTTTACATTTGTCTCAATCCAAGCATTGATTAATCATCAGTCATCTCAGAGATGCAAAATCCACCTGCCTTTCAGAAAATCGCATGTGAAGTCAAAACTATCAGGGAATTCAACCTGTGAGGCAGGAAGAGACTTTAAATCTCCAAATTTTTTATATCTTTTTGTTCTCATGAGGTATACTCAGACTGTTTCCTGTGGCTAGAACAAATTTTAATGCATTTGGCATATGTGGACTTATGGTAGCATATTAATCTCCCATTTGCAGATCTGATGGATCTCTGTCCTGAGGCTTACATGATTAACTGCACCCAGCCACATATTTCATTTCTTGTCCTGGCTGGTTGAATGTTAATTTTCTCTTCTGTGCAGGTATTCTATAAGAAATCAATTGTCCACTACATAAAATCTTATAAGCTTGTGTAATAGGGGTTCCAGATGACAGCTGCCCCTCTGGACCTTCATGCAGTTAACACATCCCTCTCTGCCCCATCCTCTCCATGTCCCTGGGCCAACCAACAACCCTGCACCTGGAGCATGATCCTGGCAGGGTGTGGTGGCAACTGTGGAAAGAGCTATTGATTGGAGCAAAAATCAAATGCAGTTCAACCCTTTATAAGAAGAACATGCAAATAACAGGCCTAAGGTTGCCGTGCTGGACTGCTGGAGTTGGCTTTTCCTTTTAACTGTTCCTTTATTACAGTCTCTTTGCCACATTGTCCAGTAGCAGCTGAACTCCTTGGCTGCTCTGAACCAGCACTGGGCAAAGTACTGAAGTACCTCTCTCAGGTTATGTAGTTCACAGACTTTTTAAATTTTTTTTTTGCCCCCCTAAAGTTTAGGAAATAGTGGTGTTTGGATGGCAAAGTCAACTGGGACTAAAACTCAGGATGAGAGCAAATTTGGTTGCCTAGTCACTATTGTGCTTAAAAACATCTAGAAAAGGTGAGTTCAGCAGAGGAGGAACACACACCTACAAGAATACATAATTATTCACAGCTTTGATTTAATAGGTACTAAAAGCCTAATCCACAGGATGGCCTCTATTAACAACTTATTAATAATTTCACTCAGCTTTATGTCTTCAGAAAACTAATTTGACAGGGTTGTTGGGGTTTTTTTAACACTTTCTAATGGAATGTCGTCTGTGATGTGTTCCTAATTTCCTGAATTTGGTTTGCTGACTAAAAAAAATAAAAATGCATTGGTCTAATTCTACTGTGGGATAATTTAGGGTCATTCTTGCTACATATTTGATGCTCAGTGGCATGGTAGTTGCTCAGCAAGGTGTCAGATGATTTATTCTTTCCCCTGGTAGATCATAAGCACCATTTCATTCATGTCATTGGGCACCTGATAGACACTGCTGCCATGAAACTCAGTGAGTCTGAACATGGAAAAGGGAAGATGGAGAGAAAGAGGGCACCAGTCAGATGAATTCATGTTGCAGTTAGCATCCCATGACTACTTGTTTCATAATTCTACAACAAATCAGACTACTACTGACATCTTCAGAATGATAAAGCTGTTGTGATTCTTGGCTCAGCGCGGCATAGTGAGATGTATGGGTACAAACTGATTGTTACAGCAAGATCCTGCTCAGGGATGAGATTAAGTCAGGAGGGGAGCAAGGAGAATGCTGCTTCATCCCAGAGGAAAACTGAATCAATGCTTTCTTAGTAAAGATACTGGGAAAGTGATGTATCATCTTAATCCAAATACATCCTTTTTGCAATCTTACAAGTATTCTAATGTAGTTTGCAAATAGTATTATGAATGGAATAGGGCAAGGCTTCAATTAACAGCAGCTACTCACACCACATTAACAGAATTGCTCCATATAAAATAGCAGATGCTGTGATCCCATATATGTTTGCAGGAATTCTTGTTTAACAATTAGATGGTATTTTGGCTATGTGCAGCGGTGCTGAAATCCAAAAGGAGGAAAGTCAGGAAGCACAGCATCTGCCTAGCTAAACTGAAGGTTGTGTTAAGCAAAAAGGAAGAAAAAATCTTTTTAGGGAGAAATTTTAACTTTCTTTTTCTTATGACATCTTTTATCTGCAGATAGTATGTCTATGACAGCTCAGTATTTTTCAATAATAAAATAAGTAAGACAACATTTTGACAACAGTAAGACAACAAATATCTTTTCTCCCCATCTCTCAAGTATTCATTTTCTCTAGAGATCTTTTGAAATTCGTGCAAGAGGTTCCTTGTATGAATTGACAAAATATGACAGTTCATCCAACTACTGTTTTGTGCCAACTGGAGCATATTTTCTAACAACTGCTGTTAGTCAGTACTTCATTTTTTTTTGGCCAGAACTGGCATTAGAAATGCGCTTTCATGTATTGTTTTTTTGCTACATGCATGGGAGACTTGGTGGACAAATATTTCTTGTGTGGAGAATGGGCTCTGACACTTCTTGGAGCAGGAGGAATGAAAACGAGAGCTGTTCTAGTTGTTCTCCCAACACCCGTTCCTCACACCTCTCTCTGTAGCTGTTTTGAAAGACTGTGCTTATAATTGATTGATGAAGGAGTCCTGGCCCTTTCTTTGTAGTTTGATTTTCACTGAACAAAGCAGCTGTCAGAGATTTTGGTGATTCAGTCCCTGGTGCACGCTGAGGGGCTGGGTGGATATAAAGTAGATGCTGTCATTTTTATGATTCTCTTAACAAATAAATGAATAGCTGCATTATTGCTGTTTTCTCTAAGCAGTGGCCCATCCATCGTGGCTCACTCCCCAGAGGATTCATTTAAATGCATCTGGCATGAGGAGAGCTCTGGGCTCCACAGGGAG